GTCTTTTTGCTTTTAACATACATGGTCAGTGCCAGTATATGTGAGAAAATGCGCTTCAGGCCTTACCTTCTGCAAGCGTATCCACAAGATCTGCTGCCGTCGAGCTGCCAGTGAACTGTTTCAGAGAGGTCTCGCTCTCGCCCTAATGTACAACTTAGAGTGCCGAACTCTTCTGTTAGACACTGTCAAGCAATTAATGCACATATGAGTCGAGTGGGGATCATAATACTTTGTTGCTTTCAGTCCTACCCTCTCACCTCGCTCTTTTTTGCTTTGCTCTCAGCCTTTTTTAACGCGCTGTTTTCCTGTCTTTAACTCTGGCTGTCCACCTCTGTTGTCGCATGAAAAGTGTCTGACTGCTTTCCTTGATGTCGATCATATTGTGGTGGTAGTGGCTTGCCCACACAGGGGTCTCCCCTGTATGATGCTGCTTTCAATTTTAGGCATATTTGGTCGATAGCATGACAAAACTAAATGAAAACATGCATCTAATGCCCTAGAGTTTAGTAAAGCTATATGATTTTTTACAAATCTCTAGAGTAAATGCATTGTTAGCATCTTTACAGCATTTTGTTCGTACTGCAGCTGCACTATGATACTAGTGAAATGTTTTAACCACATGTTAAAATTCAGTCACATACCTGATGTCTCGTTCCAGAAAAGCTTGGGCGCAGCAGTAGTTGCGGCAGTCTTAGTAATATGAGACGTTTTAGAGATAAAAGCCACAACAGCCAGGTAATGATATGACCATCAGTTCTGCGTTGTTCAGATATTTAGTGTAAAGCATAAGTGTGAGGAGACGTGACTAAAACTTTATATGTGACTTTTAAATAAATCTTTGGCACCTCAGATTCGCAGAAAATGCAGAAGTGTTTGTGACTTATGAGAGTGTATTTCAAGCCTCTGCTCAGTTAATCTTCTTCTTATCCAAATTTAGAATCTTTTGTTATAATATAATAATTCCTGTGTCAAAATGACTTTGACACAAGAATTAAAATACATGCTTTTGTCGTGACTGGAAATTTTACTTCAACGCCCATTTCTATGTATAGCCGGTGTCACATGTAGACAGATTTTTGGCTTCCTGTTGTGATGCGTGTAAGTCCTTAATGTTAGAAAAATAAGCACGAGAGGTCCACGTGGAGGCAAAAATGTTTTCTTTTTCAAAGGGCTGAAAGAGAGTTCCTTTTATGCCAAAATGTTATTTTCTAAACTCGCACGTAAACTTCTTTTCAGTCCATCTCTCTGTGTTGGATGGACGAACACTGAGACGCACGCGGTTTGTCAAAGCTGGAACGTGTCTTACACAAAGACATGAATTTGACATCACGAGCCCTGACGGACGAGTTCCAGTACATTAAACAGGACATTCAGTCATCGTTTTTTTTTCTGTTTTTAACTTTAACACCTGGGATGCCTTAATTTAGGCCGTCCCTTTTCAAGAAAGGAGGTCAAGCATTTATTCAGAGGAGAGTAAAGTTCAAATCCATGATTGAATTGGGGTGACCACATCCAAACAAATAAAATCTGGGTCAAAGGATGTGATTTTGTCTGACAATATAGGTCATGTCACCAGTTTGTCATTTATGACATATCCCATAAAAAGAATTTAACCCATAACACACAAACACACAAACTATACAGGATATATATATAATATTCTTTCTTTGAAGTCTGAATAAAAATATGCAATGTGAATATATTGGTAGCATTAATATTAGTTTACGTTTACTTTATTTAGTTATTTACTCTAAAACCGGTGCATGTTTGAAAAATGCATACATACTACTGGAGAGGCAGAAATTATTCCACAAAACGAAATCCATCTGCCACACCGTTTGTGTTGTAGCGCCCTCTGCTGGAGGCTTCAAGATCGTGCATGGGTATTTAAGAGCCGATTGCGATGGCACTGCGTAGCAGGTCAGAGATGACATGATGCTCCATTCGCCTAACAAGTGAAAGATCCTGTTGCGAGAGGATACCCGGACCTTTTTTTTCTGGGGGGGGGTTACATTAAGAAGGGGATAAAAAGGGATTAAACACAAATAAATACAAATAAAAAAATGAAGCAGGCAGAGCCCCCCTGCTGTGGTGACGCTTTATAAGAAAGGGAGCAGCCGAAAGTACTTCTAATAGCAAATCTGCTGTCACATAATCATATTTAAAACATAACTCAAAAAGTGGATTTGAGCTTAAATACCGAACAGAAGCTTACGAGGCTTTCTAAGCGCTAATGTTAGCATATTTAATAACAAAGTTATGAGGCTGGAAGGATTATAGGTGGATTTTCCAGTGAACGTTGAGACCTAAGATATAGACCTAAATCAGAATGTTCCTGATTGTTTATTTGCCTTTACACGTTAACGGCCTGCCTTTATTTCCATATCACAAAAATGAAATCTCAGATGTGATTTACTGACGCTTATGAATAAATAATTTTCCCCAGAGTGCGTACTAAAGGTAGATATTAGTTAGACAACTAAGTTTAAAAGTATTACTTTAAGTATAAAATATACTTAGAGTGTGTGTGTGTGTGTGTGTGTAAGTATATTCTTAGAGTTTTATACTTACGTTTGCTCTTAGTGTATATATATGCACACACATATATATACACGCCAAGTATTTTATACTTAAAGTATTACTTTTATACTTGGTATATCTATCTATCTATCTATATATATATATATATATGCACACTAAGTATATTTTATACTTAAAGTATTACTTTTATACTTAGACAAGTATAAAAGTAATACTTTTTATAGTTAGAGTATATTCTAAGTATATTCTTAGAGTTTTATACTTACTTTACTTTTAGACTTAAAGCATTACTTTTATACTTGATTGTAAAATGACTAACAGGACTATTCGAATGCATGGATATACATTCATATATTAAAGACCTTATTCTAACAAAAGCATAGCATTTAAAGATTTAAACATTACCCAGATGTGGTGTCTCACTGAAATGTGGTGGATTGTGTCTCACTGAGCTGCTGACCCACAAATAAACGGTTCAACGTTCAGTTTTCCATCGAGTCGAATTGTGCTGGGAAATCACGCAGTGGGGATAAAGGGGAATACCGAGTCAGCACGCACAGTTTCACTGGTGCAGTCGCTGTGTTTTTCTTTTTGTTTGTTTGTTTTTCATCACTGGCAAAGGGTAAAAAAATGTACAAGAAATACCTATACTGCAATGAAATTAAATAATCTGAATGAAAAAGAAAAGTCCGGAATAACATTAAAAAACAAAATCGAAAAAACAGCTTGTGTGTTTATTACATTATACATTAATATTTCATTGTATAAAACAAATCCAGACAAAGAGCGGGAGCGCAAAAGCTTCATTCAAACAGAATAAAACCACAGAAAATCGTGCCGTGTAGCTCGTGGTAAAATACATTGTTCATGGCTGATCTTTCGGGGAATATAGGCCACGTGAAGGCTGTTTATTTCGTTTTTTAATTGTTCATATTTTCATTATGACCCACTGCACACGTTTCATTCTTTTTGGACTGCGTATTTACTGGCAAACAAAAAAAAAAAACAGCTGCAAAAGCCTTCACCTCACATCTCATTTGGACGCGTATGGAATCACGTTAAGTTTGGGGATTTTTTAAAAACTTCTTGTAAGTTACACCTTAACAGTTAAACTGTCCAGTCAGCGTCCCCCAGAACTGAGATGCATTCCGAGCTGAGACAAACCAGGCGTTGCACTGCTGAACCGACTCTTCAGCCCCCTCTGAATGTGCGCCTCCACACCGACACCCTGGCTTTGCCTTTCTTGTAAGTGGAGAGGAAGGCCGGAGTAGACGGCCGACGGAGCCAGGTAGGAGGACCTCCAGGGCAGAAGAAGATTATTACACACAGCCGAGTGGTTCAGCTGGGGCACCAGCCAGTTTTGGGGTGGGTACGAGAGCGCAGAGGCATGGTGGAGAGTGTCAGGTGAGGACATGATTGCTGAGAAGGAAGAGACGGGTGGGGAAGATACACTGGGGGAGATGGGGATTACATCGGCGGAGGAGACCTGGCGCTGGACATCCACTCCTACCTCCCCTGACCTTCCGCTCCCTAAACTATCTCGGAGCGAAAGGACACCGGAGCCGGTGAGAGGAAGGATGCCTGGCTGTGTCCCACAATTGCGATGGCTTAGTGGGTTAAAAAGACCTCTAGTTGAGCCAAAACAAGGGAGCTTGGACTCATACTGGTTCAGTGCAGTTTCCTGTTGTCGCACAGCCCTGATCCCTGCCTGGAAGAGAGAAGGGGTGTGGGGAGGTATGGGCGACAAGGGCAGAGTGGGCGCTAGGACAGGCGCAGTTGATGTCGCAGAGGGAGAGGGTGCTTTGGTTTTTTCTATGCTCAGGGTACTGATGTACTGCAGGTTAAGGACTTGAGCCCGCAGCTGGGCGTTCTCCTCGCTCAGAGCCAGTAACTGGCCCTCTATCACCAGGTCATTCAGCCTCCTCTTCTCCCTGGACCGCTTGGCCGCCTCGTTGTTCTTCCGTCGCTTGTCCCAGTAGCTGGCATCTTTCTTATCGTCTGGGATCATCTCCCTCTTCCGGCGCGTAACGGGGGTGAAGTGGCTACTGTAGGCCTGTAAGCGCATGAGACGTCGAGCCAGGAGGGAGGACCGAGTCCCAGCCAGGAGACGAGGCTCCGTGTCCGTGTACCCACTGCTCTCAACTGAGGAGGAGGGCTGGCAAGGAGCATCTGTCCCGGCACCGTCAGGGCTTTTCGGGGAGCTCATGACACTAGTGGAGGGAAACAAGTGTCAGTCAAGCAGCATGCATACATCCATGCATCAAGCATAAATCTGACCCCGTTAGCTGCACCTGAATCACCTAAAGCCATGATTGCTGCATAAGTTTCGATTCATAACTAATGCTGAGAAAAATCTGCGTGAATAAAACTCGTTTACGTTTATTTTGAGCATTTTTGAGTTGAATGTACTTCAGACATTTGACGAAACGCGTAGTTTACTGACGTTGAAAAGCGAGTTAATAATATGTAAATTCAACGTGCATTAATCTAAACAGCCTTACTCCACCACAACGTTAAATGATGTCGGCACATACGACAGTGGCGGTGCCTTTTCATTTAAAACAGTTTCTAACCTTCTTAAGATTAAGACAGATACATTAAAGTTAGCCTCGTGTGAACTTTACGCGAGCATACTGAATGTGAGCGTTCACGTTTTAAAGCCTTAGAATTAGACAGCGTCGTAAAGTTGAACTGACACTGACCTGATTGGAAGGATGACACCTGTGGGACTGTTAGAAGCCGGGACTTTGAGCGTCTCTTGCAGCTCTGCAAACACACACGCACAAGAAGAGCGACATACAGTTTTACGCGCAGCACTTGGAAAAGTGACTTAATCTTTTTTTTTTTTTAAAGTTTGTGGGTGTTACATGGGGTGAAACAGAGAACTTACCATTCACTCACAATCAGCGGTGATGTGGAGAGCAGAGCTGCTGGGCGGTGCGCACATATAGGCCACACGGATAGCCAATCACGCTGTGCTGTCTGTTTCATTCTGTGGAAACCGATCTGGCAACTTTAACTTGGAGTGCGGAAGTCCAAGAGAGCTGTGTGTGGCCACGATCTAACCAACAGGTGTTACTGAAATGAGTCGATTTGGATCAACCGTCCTACTTATTACTTTTGTAAAATTACAGCACATCGGTCGACGTGTCTAGAACAGTCGCACTGTGACACCACTGTTCAGTAAGCTTTACTCATTAGTAGAAAACATGGTTTGGTTTACGACATGATTGTGTTTGACTTTGAGATTTCTTTGACATGTATTTATCTATTTGTTTTGAATGACGTGATGAAATGAAATAAAACACTGAAACAAATCCCAGAAAGCACGAGCTACATTTAGAGAGATTTAGAGATTTTTTGTTTTCATTTTTTTTTTTCATTAAAAGGTTCGCTCCACATCACGGTGTTGCTCAGCATGTGGCGCATCTCTTCAAATGGAGACTGCGGGAACTGTAACAAAAGCTATAACTTCTCATGGATTTACCTGTGCTTACTTTGCACCTGTAACTCCTCCTTAAATGAAGGTTGTGGCGCACATAACTGCTAATCACGTGCTCACAGTTAAATTTCAGGAGGGACTTTGAATGTGTCCAGTCATCCACTAGTCCAGACTCAGGAAGGATGCAGGGAATCACTAAAGTCCAGATTTGTAATTTAGCGTTCCCTGTATCTTTTTTTTTAAAAATTAGACAAATCACATTGAAGGAGAAATTGCCGGTCAGTTCAAATTCCTTTTTGCTATATTAAAAGGAAAATTTCAAGAGGTAATTCCTGCTGAATGCTTCAGATTGTGGGAATTTCTTTTCTCATTGCTGGATTTGCTCATTCCAGCCATCTGATAAAGCAGGACTTTAGAATCTGTAAGCACCATCTGTGCCTTGCAGTGTTAATGTTTTATTCTAAAATGTCAGGACGTTGTGGTCATGTTAACATGACCACAATACACACACAACTCTTGTTCACTTCCACACGTGTCTACAAAAATAGGTAGCTGTACAGTGAGTATTTTACACATACAAATCTACTTTAATAAATGTGATTCGTTAAACCCTTTTTTGTGCCTTTGGCGAGTCTCTCCCCAGTATTCGTCTATCCATATTTAATTTAGTCACATGGTGTGGAATTCCATTTAGTTATGCACCTGGTTTTGGTCTAGCTTTTTCAATGTCACTAATCTTCACTGGTGCAGACGTGATTCCCCACATCTCTCATTCTTCTCCAGTTGTTCATTTGTGTTGTATTTTTCCATTTAAGAGTGGCAAATCCACCTGTCCGTCTATTGGTGAAAAAAACCAAAATGTTTCATAACACAACCAAGAAGGCTGTTGTTTGAATCCTGCCTCACCCGAGCTGCCAGAGATGAATCACTGTCGGCAGGGGACAGGGGCAAAGTGCACCAGGGTACATTAGGTTGTCTGCGGAGAGCATTGAAATCTCCAGCCTTGCAGCTGTCTAAGCATTAACAAGTTTGAGAAGCACAGGTGAAACCTAATGATCCACCTCTCCTATTCTGTTCACATTCTAATTCTAGTCTGGGTATTCTTTTGAAAGGCTGCAAAAGAGCAGCTTCTCGCGAGAAGACACAGAAGCTGAACAGCAACCAGAATGGAAAACCACACTGTACAACATCACTCTTCTGCAGTTTGTGCTGAAGACTTCTTTGTAGCGTGCAGAGTGAGGGGGCTGTCCATATCACAGGGGGGTGTCCTATCAGATGTATGTTTGTTAAAAACTCCAGTCGAATTTTCTGTCTGACTCATCATAACCGCATCAGCCACAGTCGCTCATGTTCCAACAGTCTTCTTTTAGTAAGAACGTTGTCTCCAGATTTTTAAAGACATAGTATCTGTCAGGTTGTATTGGTTCCCGGATATTAGTTTGATGGCTTTGAAAAGAGACAAACTATCATGCACAGAAAACACAGAAACAAACATGCGCACAAGGTGAAGACTACAGTGTAGCCTCAACTTGTAGCAGTAACAGGAAGCAGGTGTTATAAATATGATAGCATCCAAATTATTAATAAATACAGGGCTGATTTATTTTTAGACAGACAGTGATCCGATTTACTCGACTGTGTCTCTCAGCACTGTGTGAATCTGGACCTTTTCGAGGATAGTTTATTAGCACTGTTAAAAAAAATAATACATGCTTAGAAAACATTGTGATATGAAGGGCCTGCATAATTTGTTGCACTCCCACGTTCGTGTGTGGCAACACCCACATCCTGACTGCATGTTGCAGATGATTCTTTTATGTGGATTACTCAGCGCCAGCAGTATAAGTCCTGTTGGCTTTATAATGCTTCAGTGTCCAATTGAGAGAACACTTTTCAACGTTTGACCATTATCTGTATTTCTTTCGTACCAGTGATTGCTCGACTAACATCACGCTGCCGGCAGCTTTGATTCTTATCAAAAATATGGATGCGGAGGGCCTTCAAACATTTGTTAAAGGCTGTATTCCTTTCACCAATAAATCTATTGAAAAAGCTAATGATTTAGTCATTTCCAGGTTTTAATTACCCAGCCTGTGCACCACTAGTACATTTATCCTCACAGACAGGATTTCTAATTAATTTCGTAAAGGATTCATGAATTCTTTAGACAGCTGGCTGCAGGCTAAGAAAGAAGGATTCTCAAACAGATGTTGATCACATCCGATGATTGTGACAAAGAACTGTTGACCTCTATTTCTTATTCTTCTTCTTTCAGCTGCTCGCTTTAGGGTTTACCAAAGCAGATCATCTGCCTCCATTTCCTCCTGTCCCAGCATCCTCCTCAATCACACCCACCCTCTGCACGTCCTCCTTTACTACATCCATGAATCTTCTCTGAGCTCTTTCTTTTTTCCTCCTGCGTGGCAGCTCAATCTTTATCATCCTTTGTCCAATATATCCACTCTCCCTCTTCTGCACATGTACAAAACATCTCAGCCTTGCTCAGCTTTTCTTATTTTGTCTCCAAACTGCTGAGCCTGAGCTATCTCTCCTAATCGCTTCCAACAAAAATCTTCAGCTCTGCCACCTCCAGCTCGGCCTCCTGTCTTTGTGTCACCGTCACCATCTCTAAACCATACATCACTGCAGGTCTCGCTACTATCTCCTAAACCTTCCCTTTCCTATTCAACCCTGCTGGCACTCCTTTCTTGACCTCTCTCATACTCTCTCTGTTGCTTTGGATGGTTGACCTCCGCCAACATTCCCAAAACAAGAATCTGCAGGGCTCCTTCTTTCCTATAACATGGTGTGACACATCAGCTTTATCCATCTGTCCAGCTCTGCACATCACATTTGTTCTTGAAAATCTGTGCTCACTCTCTAAGATTGTGTTAAGCAGTCTGGTTAAAATGTCCACTACCCTCTCTCCAAAACACCTCCAGAGGTATGTCATCTGCACCAACTGCCTTTCCATTCTTCCATCTCCTCATAGCTGTCCTCACTTCCTCACTACTAATCCTCTGCACTTCTTGATTCACTAACTGTCCTCTATTCATCCATCCTACTTTCTCACGTTCTCCATCTATTAGCTCCTCAAAGTGCTACATGTATCTGCACGCATATGTTTCATTTTCATCATGGCACAAATCCGAACACATGCGCTAATGTTAACATGCATGCACAAGAATATGACAGCCCAGTCTGCGTTCAACTTTGTGAGTTGTTCAGCTCACTAGAGAATTCCAATCTTACCAAATCTGTTTTTAATGCCTTGTAGATTAGAATCATGGGGGTACCACTCACTACAAAGCCCTGTAAATCACAAATGCACTCCGGACAGACAGAGATTATGATCTTAGTGACTAAGAAAGAAAGAGAAGTAAATGTTCTAAAAGTGTGTTTACACTTCGCTAGTGTTCACCAGGTGCCAAATGCATCTTTCCACAAGTGCAACAAGTGTTTTGCACATAGGTGCGAACTGTAGGTCTCCCCTACACTCTCCTCGTCATATGTCTAAATGAGGTTGTGAAAAACACAAAGACAAGTGACCTACTGTCTAAATAAAAGAATAAGTGAATTTGAGCTCTAATACACTGGCCATGCGCACAGCAAAAAAGGAAGTGTGATGATTGATGTCTCTTTTGTTGTTTTTGGCACATTATGCCACAAAGAGAAAGTTATTCTGCTTGTTTTTGTCTTTGAATTTCTTTACCTTGTGCATTAAGAGTGTATATATGTATATATTCTTTCTTCCTCATACCCACTTTAAGTGTTACCATGACCTTTCTAAATGCCTCAGACAGTTGTACACAGACATTAGTTTTGTTGGGAGAGCTTGAGTTGTGTTTTCATCTTCATGGTAAATGAACTGACTCTTATATAGCACTTTTCTACTTGACCTAAGCACTCAGGGCACTTTATACAACTTGCGTCAAAATCCTCACTCCTACAGAACCAGCTCCTTAATCACAGTGTTGCCTCATCTTAAAGCATACTCTGCCTCATTGTCCTTTGTTTTTTACACTATTTACAGAAATGAACATTATGCTGTAGTCACGAAATCTGTAAGCTGGTTCACTGAGATCATTAACCCATCAGGAAAAAGATTTACCGAGTCTGGCGCTGTTTTTCTGTAGACTTACACAGTCTACCGGCTAGAAAGAATGCCAGTTTAAAGCACTTCTGTATTGTTTTCTATAATGGAGATTAGGGGTTCCATTACCCTACTCCTATATCTATATAAATGCAGTGGCTCAGGAGTAGAGCAGGTCAACCACTAATCAAAAGGTTGGCTGGGTTGGGCAAGAGCCCCATGTTACATAGAAACACTTAAAGATCGAAAAAAGTTCCTGTGTGGATGGACGTGACCGGGTGCATGAGGGTTGTAAGAATCAGTCCGTTACCAATATGTGCATTAGCTCATGACGATTCATAGCATAAGCTAAAGAAAAATCTACACATTTATTGTTTGCGATTGAGTTTAGTTAATATTTTTAA